GCTGGCCATAAGCAAGGTGTCATTGAGTCTGCAATCATGTCCCGGATATTTTTATCAGCATCGAATGTTGACACTTCATGGAGAACATCATCCTCTCCACCTTTCTCACAGAAGAAGCATTTCTGAACATCTAATGCTTTGCGCTTCCTGGGCCTTTTATGTTCATCATTTGGGGTGTGATCTCTCTTTTTCTTTGCCTTCACCAATTTATAATTATTGAATTTCAAATGGCAAGATTTGTGCCATGAAGCTGAATGTGTAACAAAGCTTTCAGCAGTTTCTTCATTCCCAAAACAGAGTTCAACTGGAACAGCATCGATGGCTCGGAATTGTTCAACATTGGATAGGAATGATTTGTAGGCATCTGCTTTGTCACCACTTGTCCTTGAACTCTTCAAGGGACACTTCAGGGGTTCAGCGGTGTCTTGTTGGCAAATCACACAGCGATCCCAATTAAACACCATGATGAATAACATTCTGAAAAGATACAAGCATAGTCTGGAGTATTGGACCTTTATCCAATAATTTTACCAACATCGAGTTCTCGATTTGCATGGATTGTTCGCGATTCTCTGATCCCGTGGGCTACTTTTGACATGGGTGTTCCTATTCAAGTAGTATGGAAAGGGAAGAGTGGAGCTCAAATTTTCGAGTTACCAGACTTGCTGGGGCGGTTGGTTGAGAATCCGCAGTAGTTAATCTAGGTACGAATGACTTGGTGCAGCTTAATTTTTTTCGCTCTCCGACAGGTAATAGTGATTGCAATCGCACACTTATGCGAACAATTTCCAGACACCGTCATCAACAGTCCCTGGAGCGGGTTCTGACGTTCTCGACTCAGTAATCGTGGGTATCATTGACATTCTTGACCCACGCCCCTATGTTTTGGCGTTTAATTGGAAATTATGCCTTGGGAAGTTCTTGTGGTCATGGGTATCACGTTTGTACAGGTTTCAGCTCAATGTGCATGGTTTTATACGAGGTGGCCGCAGGTGCTGCCTCGTGTGCCGGTTTACCTAGTATACGTATATTGGTATTCCAGTGAAGTTGGTGAATAAATCCATATTGAAGCTGTGGCACTCACCCTCAAAACAGTTTGCCCGCTTTCCTTCTTTTTGAGTTGGAATATAACTATAAATAACTTGGTGTTATTTTGTTAAGTTAGAAAACACATTAACAGTATCGCTTCCAAAGCTCCACGTTTTAATGGTCTTATTGGTAGAGTTACTAAATCTAGAGACCCAAATATAACTCATTTCACCCTATCGCTCAATCAGTAGACTGTTATTGGAATATGGAGCACCTTTATGTGGTGCCCTATTCATACTACTCAGCAGGATGTTTTGGAAAGGGTCCAAAGACGTTCTACTGGTTTTTGTTGAGGCATCCCGAGAAAGACCTCCATGAATCCCTATCGCAAGATTTAGTATTCTCAAAGGTGTATTCATTTAGCCATGCCCCTTGTAAACAACAGACTCTCTATTTTCTTTCTATTGCGTTTGTTGTGAAGTGTTTATATAACCAACTTGATATTCCTGTCGATGTTTGAGTATATTGCTGTTAACCGTGGACATACTGATGTTGCAGGACTTCTCTAACAATTTTCGAGGGCTAATGCTGCCCACCATTCTCTTTACCATAGATTCCCAAGATTATGGGAGGCATTACCCATTCTGTTACAGATATGGTTGTTTTAGGATTAGGGTCGTTTACTAAGTCACTTATGAAACATTTATTGATTCGAGGTTCAAGGGCTACCCTAACGCAAATTGATCAGTGATGTATATATTTTTGATCTTTTAATAAGCCTTTTCCGAGCCATTCCTGTTTGGATTGACTTGCAGGGGGGCTTTTATTATGTAATTTTTGTATTGTCGGAGACTGTATAATATGTAATTGAAGATAAATTTCGTTTTAATTTATATTTATTGATGAAGTTACAACCTTGTTTACGTACTATTCCATTAATTGTGTCATATATCTCTTTTCATTTCTACTTTTCATGTGCAATATACATGTATTTGTTTCTTTGTGTGGTTTAAGTGGCACCCAGGAGAGCAACTTGACAGTAATTCAGTTAGCTTTTTCGCAATCCTATGCACGGGTATTGCTTTACTATTTTTCTGGTCCACTGTGTGTTTGTTTGTAACTTTTACCGCAGAAATGAATAATTGAAATGAAATTTATAGGAGGTGCTCTCATTAAAATACTCTATCCTTGAATGAATCTCAAAGGCTCTTAGTTTAAGGTTGGCTGGCTGTCCAGTAGGAGCGCTAAAGTTCTGGTTTTCTGAACTTTTGGTAACTTTCAGTGCAAGGGGTCAGTGGTGGTAGCGATTTTTATGGGGCCAGGGTGTTCCCACCCACCTCATCTAGGCTTGCAAAGATTAATCTAAACTCATTGTGTATGGCTCAAAATGATTCATGCATGTCACAGATGAAAAACTTTTACTGAGTTGCTGAAGTGTAATTTCCGAAGACTGAAAATTGAGTCAGTCTTGAGACAGGACTATATGAGTGACTTTCGTTTTAAATTAATTAAAGTGAGATTTTCACCTTGCTGACGTTTTCTCAGTCGGTCAATCTATAATAGTCCATGTGTGTTGCAAATATTGAGCTATATCGGTTGATTCCCCAACAGGTGACGAGGGAAATTTTACTGTTTGAAAATTTAGAATAAACTTTGTAATCATAATATAAGCAGCAATGGCATCTCAAGTTGTTTTCTTTTCAATTTCTTTTCCAAAATCATAATTACAGTAAATATGTAGCAAAGCACTAACAGATAAATATTGCTCACTTGACATCCTGAGGTACACTTTTACTAAACTGCAAAGCTTTACCATTATTTATAACGGCAGTTTTGACTTTACTACTACCGTTTCCAAATACTTATTTATTTATGACTTTTGCAAATTTGGTTTTGAACCGTGGAGTTGTGAGTTCTGTTTCAATAAACAGTTTGAAAGAACTATTTTTACCTTTACCATACCCACAGGTGCACAGTTGTCTTTTGGATTATTAATTAAAAAAAGAAATAAAAATGCAAAAGACTGCTCGATATTTTCTACAGTAGATACTCATTTTAAAAGTTGGATATCCGTGGTCGTTTTCTTGACTTATTATTATTATTATTTGTGTCATAGCAAATCACCGTGGTAGTGCAAATTCGCCCACAAATGCATCTGAACTGTAAGGATACTTGCATTTTGATCGCCAACTCTGAAAGGCTGCAGATTATGAGATATAATGTCCATTTACTAGAGGATTACCAGGATCGGCTGTTGGCTTGAAGGCGGGTTGTTTTGACAGCAGGTTTCTTTTCCAATGAATCCGTGATAAGGAATAGGAAGATAAAAATATACTTCAAGTGACATCTCTTATAACCTTTGCTGATATTTTTCAGGGTAAGAGCACTTCATGAAATTCATCATTCCAGTCAGAATTAGTTTTTCGTTTATTTTAAGAAAACGGGGCTAAAATATGAAGACATTATTTGGTTGAAATGGCCTATTTAATCAAATACAGGATTGATGCGTCAAATTTACTCTTAGACACAATTTCGTTGTGTAATTATTGCAGTAATATGAACTCGCTGGCTAAGGGTTCGTTATCAGCAGGACTATGCTCATTTTGCAATAACACCACAAGGTTATTTTTACTGTTTATTTAAATGTTTGACACATTAAGAATACCTATCTGTGTTCTTGTCTTATACAGTGACGGTTTAAGAATAACTGAATGAGCGATATGTAAGGTAAACCTATGGCCGGTCAGAAGTAACCAAAAGGGCTCTACATAATTAAAACGTCCTTTAAATAATAATGTTCTTCCATTCTCTATTACTCACTACGGGGATTGAAGTAAAGCTCAGGGATGTAAACATTTGATAACACCATTTTATTATTAATATATGGCTTGTTCTGAATATAAACGGACTGCCTTTCTATAACATTCTTTGGTAGATAGCAAAAACCGCTCTAAGTTGAAATATAAGTCGCAATGGTCGATATACATCTTTAGTTTTCGTTTAATCTGAAACGTTAACTTAGTGATTAATCATATAAAGGCATTGGTATAGCATTCTTAAGTTTAAGATGGTTGTTGTAACATAGGTTCTGTGTTACATACTCCCTTAATTTAAAAATGATTTTCTTGCTTTTATACATTGAAGTAAAAGATTACAGATGATGAAGTTCCGTCGTAATTGTGTAATAAGGCTATTATCAAGCTGGTCCTGAAGATCGAGGCTGTTGATTTTTGAGAAGACCGGAAATTTACATTTATGAAAATAAGGATAATGATATAAGATTTGTGGTAATTTGGAATTGAGAGATCGAGGTTTGAAAGGCAACAAATTGGGGCATGATTTCGCTAGTTCTTTAAAACTGTTAAGGTTTTAGGTTTATATATTTATTGTAGATGGCCTCATGTTGAGACTGGTCCCACTGACTCTACCGATGACTGAGAAGAGTCCCTTGTGTACTGCTACGGAGCATAGACTCTGAACTTGCTCTGCTTGACCGAGCTTTGGGCTGATCTGCTGCAGTTTTGTTATACGCCAGATATATCTACCGCTATGATTTTGCATGTACAAGTTGTTTATGTACATTGTAAGCGTGGGCAATATGTGGGAATATACGACAACAGCTTTTATACCAACAGGTATGTAATGATTTAATTTTTTGTAAGAATTCACTCGCACATGAGTTTAAGGTCAGTTCAAATCACAGGATAATGTGAAAACAAAGCAATGGGACGTCACGAAGAATTTGCAGTAGATTTTGCTAGTTTAAATGTACATGAAGTACATGATCGACGACCTGCTAGCTGCAGTTGAGTCCTTGATGCCTGAGTTTAAATTTCCAATTTTGACGCACATTTACTAATTGTGATGGGTAACTTAATCACTGGATTAATAACTTACTCATGAATGATAACGGACTTTGCATACAAAACACATGTTGCAAGCCAGCCAACCATCTGTGCATGAGCTATGATCGAAAAGCTTTGCATAGGTCTGGGCCTTCGCCCATTGAAAATATACGAGTGCACGCGGACCAAAGGCTTGACAATTATAGTTTGGAAGCCCACATTCGGACACGACCAGGTGGTGCACATGCGTAGGCCTCACTCTTGTACTATAGCTTCATATTTTTTTCTCATTAGTTTTCCGTTTAAATTCTCGCACTCCCATTTTTTATAGTGGGCAGATTCATGCCAATGATTCCAGGGCTTACAAATTGAAAGTCATGCCCGAGGTCCAAGTTTAAGATTTTTTATGTTAAAAACCACGGTAGCGAAGTTGCCACTTCGGCAAAAAAGTGTCGTTAGTCTGGTTCCACAGTTCTGACTTTTCTGCCCGAAGGATGTCGATAGTACGCGTTGGAAACCAGTCTACGTTTGTTAACCAACGCACGGGCACCATATGCTGCTTTTCCCCCGCACACCCGTACCTGTACCCCCCACATGCATTTCTGCACAGCGCACTTTCAGATTTCTTGAGGAACTAGTTCGTACGTACATACACATAAATATGCACCGGCGGCATGACTAAATTCAAAACTGCGGTCGCATCACGGTCTTCATTGAAATGAAATGAAATATCTGTAAACTTAAAAACAGGGGGGGGCTCGGACCGTGTCCTCATGGTGGCTGAATTCTCATTGTTGTCAAGTCCGAGAACCGAGTCTCCAAGTCCAAGTCGAGTCCTTTAAATTCAGGACTCGAATCCGAGGTCGCACTCGAGTCCTCCAGCTAGTGTTCGCTTTTGCCCCAAGTATAACCTGGCTATGCTTGTTAGCGAAACTATCATCGTACATGAGTGTATTGCTCCTTATTACTCCGTGCTGAAACTCAATTTAGACCCTTCCTCGCATCGCTAATAATTATTCATAAGATACAGAATTATACATTTTTTGTGTGGTGACCTCACTTTTAACATAACAGCAAGTGGAAATTCAGCAAGGGCCCCGGTCTGCATGCCAAGTTATTTGATAAACTAAAGGAATATGTCGGATGAGGACTTTACCTGTAGGCCTATTTTCAACGTTATGACATTGAAGGTTTATCAGGGATTATGAAAGATAAAGTTATTAACGATATTAAGACAGACGATAATTGATTAAAACTTTTGAAATTTCACTCATCATAGGTTCTCGGGTTATCTCTAATCTGTCAATAATTCTTTGTAAACACAAAGATTTATCACTTATGTAAACAAACATAAAACATACCTTATTCTTTGACAGAAAATATGTTACCTTCGATACTGTGGCGGTTGTGTGGACCCAACCCCCGAGTCGCCATTGGCCGATGTCAGCGCGCTGTCAAGTCTTAGGCAGCCAAGGGAGCAGGCCCGTTTGCAGCTGTCTACCGCCATGTGAAGCAGGAGAACAGCACAAGAGCACACTAGGGTAGGGACAGGGATGGATAAAGAGGGCACCACAAGCAGAGACTGACACGTCTATCTAGGTTGACTCTGTTTTATTCACTAAAAACACCTCATCATCTTTATAATGGAAATCAATGGTACTCATTCACCGCATAGGTGCGAAAGTTTATGCGCGTTTGACATGGAGCACGGCGAGTACACGCAATGAAATTAGTCTAGAATATTGGTCTAACCCTAGCCCGAACCCGGTTGGAAAACTTAGTACCATCTGTCTTTCTTTTGCCTGTTAAGGTGGACTTCAGTTCAGAGCGGATACTGGTGTAAACTACCGGAACAGCTTGTTTTACATCCGCCAAATATTCTACAATGCTGACGCCCCGTGGATGGAACTCTTCACATAAACATAAGCTAGCTACTAACGTAAGGCCTGATGACTCCTGGTAAGTCGCTTTACTTACGGATACAGATGACTGTATGGGAAACTGACTGGCTCGGCGCGCTCTCGCGCTTACATGCCAAGCGAAAAGCCAGCCGAGAGCTCCAACCCTATCTACAGTGCCCTAAAATAAAGAAAAAAATTGCTATTACGCCACAATACCTACAAATTCTTGTGCCAAATGCTCATGCGCAAGCGTTACCGTTGAAAATCACAGACCATAACGTCACCCATCACACACTGCACAGCCATGCTTATATCCCAGAATTCCATGCGTAGCTGCCCCTTTTTTCCAGCGCATATTGCTGAGTTTTGTTCTGAGCTATCTACATACACGTAAATTGGTGCTTAGTTATTGCTGTCGGACTGTATTTCTGACACTTTCGACCATGTTTGAATCGCAGTCAAGAAAAAGACCACTCATGAAATCTGCAAGTAAATGTCGATACTGTAACGGTCCATTATCACTATTGGATTTCGATGTTCACCTAAACTGCTACAGATGTCGATTATGCAGTCGAGATACATGTAGCCCTTGTGGTATCTGCTCGGGCTAGTCGTCCAAAAATTTGTCGGCGGTCACGTCGTTGCAGGACGACATGTGTCACCCCAACAGATGACTGAAGTCCCTGTATCCACTTCTCAGTTGACAGTTCAAGACGGAATTGAAACTCCCAACAGTCTTTTTTCAGTTCGACGATTATTTCGCCCTCGTTTTCCCCCGCCATACAAACAAATACGACTATGCCTTCTGGCATTCCGGGGAATGTTCTTGTTTCGGCCTACAGCCGCTTGATACCGGCCACTGGCGTCAGCATTACTCCAGCCCAGTTCATCCTTGCGTTCCCGGGTAAGAGGCCTGACTACGCATACTCCGACTGGTCCTTCTTTTTATCCTCGAGATGCTCGTGCCTTTGAGTCTGCTTCCTAGGCTGCGGATACCTGTTTTCAATATCGTATTCCTTCGGGACTTTCCCCCTATCGGTCGAATCTGCCCGCCGTTGGACACGTCGGAGCCCAGCTGGTTATGCTTCCCGCTCGCGCGAGTGTGCTGCCTACGTCCTTTGATGGTCCTTTGGGCTCCCACTGAGGTTCCAGGAGACATGAATACTCTCCTCCAGCTGTTCCTTTTCGTTCTTCTCCACTTCAGTTGCATTCTCTGTCACCTTCGCTCAGCCGCTCCGGGTCACCTAGTGGTCACTACACCTGTAATGAGTTGTATTCATCAATTTCTATTGGCTGTGAAGATTATTCTTTCAAACTGGAAAAGACTTCTTTTATGCATAGAGGTAACCTGGTTATACCTGAAGCGAGTAGAATTTACAATTGCACCCTCCGTCCCTAAAACAATTACCACCTTCATTGTTTCGCAGGGCTTCACCCTCCTCTACTCTGAACCTAAATACTCGATCCCTGACGATGGGTTAAGTTCAGGCTTTATTTCAAGAGGGTTTCTCTAATGTGAAAAGAAATTCATACTTAGAGTCCCACTTTCGGAGCGGTCCCTCCTTCAGGCAAAATCTGAAGACTCTGCACGATATTTCTCAGTGCTTTCTCTTTCTGTCGAGGTCAAGCACGGACTCCGCTCAGGGCTCTTGTCTCAAACTTTCTCCTGAAAACATAAGCCCTGTTCCTGTCTCTTCAAAAGCTGGACTCCCACATATGTCATGGGGCCAGGGTTTCTGGTCTCCATCCTACTCTCGGATGCCTTGGCTTGGGTTTCAGAAATCCTTCGTCTATTGAACCAAGTATTCTACCTCTCATGTTTCATTTTTTGGATGACTGTCTGTGCCTACGTGAGCTCTCTGTTCGGTCAGCCCTTGCCACCTCTTGGCGTCGTAGCTTGGTCCTAAACAACCTTTTTGGCCATCCAACGGCTCCAGAGAACCTGTGAAAGACCTGCCCTTACTGGGGACTGACAAATTGCAGACAGATTTGGCGAATCTATGCTTCATGAAACTAAACGCCTCAAGACAACCTACATCGTCAATTAACAAATAGACCCCCAGCTAGCCGGTGTCTGTCCTCTAAAACGTCGGGTAGCCGGGATTCCTTTCGTCATCCACAGTCTCCCCGTATCCAGCAGTCCTAGTGTCCTTCTCTGGAAATTGCCAAGGTCGTCCCCCACCGTCAATCTACCTCTTCTGTTAAAACAGGACCTTTCAAACCCAAACGATCTACCAAAATCCTGGGTGTTCGGGACCCTAATAGTCAACGACAACGATTCAGCTGTGCCCAGTATCTCGGAAGTTCTGGTCCAAGTAGGGACAAGGCTCCTACACTTTGCTTCAGGCTGTTTCGTCAGCTTACTAATTGGAGTTCGCCAGCCCACCTCCAAATCTTGGCAAACTCCGTCGACGGCCTACATCAATTCCCCATAACGCAATCTCTTTCTCTAAGGAAGTCCGGCGAGCTTGCACTAGACTTCCTTAGAAAAAAAGATTGCGTCTCTGCTTCAAAAGAGAGCCATAATACCTCTTTTAAACCATTTAAAGTGTTTCACACCAGCTTTCTTTCAGACTCCAAAGATACCCAGCGACCGAGGTCCCACCATCAATCCCATCCTCTTAATGTTTCATTCGTCCGAAACGTTTTTGCATGGAAAACCTGGCTACATTTCTATATTTGCTTCCGCAGGACTGTTGGGCTCCACTTCTGAACCTGACAAATGCTTACCTTCACATTCCCATTCACCAGGAGCATCAGAACCTCTTCCAATTCATTTACAGAAACATAACATACCAGACTCGCTGCCTTTCTTCGGCCTGTCCACTGCACCTGGACGAATGGCTGATCGTTAGCTCGTCTCGTCTGGTGACCATTCAAGGTTTGTCAAAACGATTCAACTCACCTTGAACCTGGGTTTCATTATCAACCACGAAAAGTCTTCTTTGGTTCCTTTGCAGAACCCTACCTTCCTCGGGACTTCTCTCAACATGCGGTCAGCAAGGCACCCCCCGCCATGGAGCGTTGCTTTAAGCCCCCGAAGAATGTATTCATCATTTCCTGGAGAATCCTGGAGAAGTTATAAAACCCTTCCCATCTCACCCTTTGCAGAAACATCCAGGTGGGTCACAGCCTAAAACACCAGTTTCTGCAACTTCAAGCCAGCCACCAATGCCGTACCACGCTACTCGCTTGAGACAGGTGGGGCTCACCTACAGCCGCCACAGATGTTGCTTACATCTCAGGCTCCAATTCAAGCCTTCAGACGTGGAGCATGACAACACCATGGGCTCTCTTTCAAAGTGTTGCTGTTTTATATATTGTGCATGCACCTTAATGGAAAAACCCATCAACGTTCACATCATGCTACCTGAGAGATGTTCTCCAAGCTAGAGGCTTGGTGGGCAGACGAGTTCTCCAGACTACTGTACGAGCAGCAGGCAGGAAACCTAGACAAGTAGGCCTAGTTGCTACGCCCTCAAAAGATACTGGACGTCGTAATCATGGGTATGTCTTTACTAACCTCTGATTTTTAATATCTGTTCAGCTTAACTATTCTCTTGGTTCACACACTGCATTTCCGCCCATCTCACTACACTCCTGTGCTACTCTGCACCTGTAGGTACTGAAGGCGACGTATTTTCTGTCACGTAATCTACCCAAAATCTATGAGGATTTTCTATTCTATAAAGAAAATACTCACTTTCGATACCATCCCTCCCAAATTTTGTGTTTTCCACTGTAGACAAAAAGGAGGGTGAGATACACATAGAGTTCTGGGATATGAGTCTTCGATGTGCAGTGTGTGCGGGGTGACGCAAACACTGTTTTTTTGTTTTTCCATCGGTAACACTTGTGCATGCGCATTTGGAAAATGCGATAGGTGTCGGAGGAGAGTATTTTCTGTATGGAATAAAAAATCATTAATTTGCAAGTGTTTCCTGGGGGGTTCCATAGAACACTGAATTAAAAAAAGTTGATACATCCTAGCATGCTCATACGAAGCTTTTTTGACCATCTTGTTTATCTGGGTATCTCATCCTTAACCTGGAATCCAAGCCCTACCCGTTGATCAAGCAAAATTTATCAACAACCCAGTGGTACCTCCAACATAGAATGCAGATGGATGGAGCCATTGTGCATCCATGCCTATTTTCGCCGAAAAAACCTAAGTATAGCATGCACAAGTTAGTTTATACTTGCACTGTCTTAGCATCATCCAGACTAAAATCAAAAGTCTTTCACAAGGTTTGTGCTGCACTATGATAGTAAATTAACTTTGTTTTGCCTTTAAACAAAGGTACATATTCACATTGTGTTTTCAGTGTGGTCCAAGAGTTGCTAAAAAAAATTACAAGCTTGCTCAGGTGAGATTCAAACTATCTACTTCCTGCTTTTTAAGCGTAATGCTAGTTGTATTGTTTTCTGGTTCTATTTTGTTTCCATTTTGAGTGTTTTTGTTTTGTATTTTCCTTTTTAATTCTACCTTATTTTTTGTTGTCTAGGTCGAATAGATAACAGCAATAAGGATAAATTAGCAGGGTAGCAAAAATTGCGAACGCAACAGTTGTTATCTCCAGATCACTCCTTATTTCCAACTTAAAATTTGCAAAAAAGTAGTAAATAGTGCAAAAACGTCCTAAATTCAAAATGACGCAGAGAATTCAGACGATTAGTTAGATGAAACAATCACACTTCAGTGGATATCTCTTCCCTTCTGTGCTTGAATTGGGTGCACTCTTAAAATACCGTAAAAGCATCGTCTAGATGGAATGTCCTTGAATGAAGTGTTTTGCAGAGAGCAGCTGCTTCAATCCGAAATCATTAAGACTCTTCATCATCTTCACATGGTTGTGCCTCTTCAAACATCCTTGTCTCCAGCAGTTTGAAACCTTTCAAGTGTTTTACTTTGTATCTCTGAATATGAAACGCTTCTGCAATAATAAACGAAAGGAAACTGATCCCTCATTGTGCAGAGAGATTATTTTAAAAGCTTTTAGGCTTCACCTCGACAACGCAATTTCATCATTTTATCGTCTTTTCCCCTTTTTCATTTTGACCAGAAACAAATGACAATCACCTTAGTTTTGCGTTTGTTTAATGGATTGCTTATTCCACGGATATGATATGTGTGCATTCTTATGCACTTGTTCATAGTGCCTTGTTGGATACTGGAACAATGGAAGTACCCCATAGGCCAGTTTTGATCTTTATGGGGTACTAAAGTTTTACCCCACAAGAATTTCACGAAATGGATATTTCAAATTTACCCAAAAAGGAGGAATTTTCAAGTGCCATTCATCGCCGCAAATTGAAGTGTTTTATATAAGGGACATACAGTCGAAATTTCAATCCATGAAACTGAATTAGATTGAAATGGCAGTGATTTAAAATTCTTTCCGTGTTGTGTGGGAGTTTTGTACACGAGAACAAAGGAAATACCCCACAGGTATACATATGTAAGGGTGTGTGTCCCTGCAGAGATTATTAGCGCTGTTTTTAGTCAGTGTAGCTTTCTGCTAACTTGTTTCGAGTTGGTTCTTCGAGAAAACCTAAGGACAAACAATGCTCTCTCCAAGACTCCTAGCACACCTCGTATCGTTTCTCTTGCCAAACAAAAATACTCAGGACCAAGGCGTGTTCCTGAATAATGTTTTGGATAATGGAAAGCCGAGGCTGATATGCGAATCAGCGATGTCGCTCCAAAAAGTACATTTTTTTCACCGCTTGAGTAGTGGTCAGCACTACCTTTAAGTTGGTTCTCTTCATCAACAACGAAACACTGTTGGTTTGTTGAAAAAACAACACTTCACCGTTCAATAGAAAGTGGCTGCAGTCAACACAGTTAATTGCAGCGTACAGCGAAAGGCATACACGACACGTCCTCACATACACGTCGGTCAAAAACCATCTACACGTCGTGCGTGTGGTAACCATCCTTGCATTATGGGGGAATAGGTTATTATGATAGATAATAGGAATCATGGGGGGTTTGTTCAAGAAAACAGAGGGAGGGCGCTCACGAAGTTGTTGGCAGCCCTTTTTTACCTTTCCTTCTATATAGTTGCTTTTAATAGTTTTCATCTGACATTTTTATTCCACGTTTTACTGTATTTTCTTCATGATCGTGTTCTGGAAAACACTTTTTAACCTTTCCTGTGTGTATTTAGCTTTTTGTTCTTTTGACTGTATATTTCGTGGACTTTATGCTCCTACAGTGTTACTATTCTAGAGGCCATTTTGAATTCCGTCTCTTCTGATAATGGGAAACTCTACACAACCTAACTCGCCGACACGTAGCAGCATTCTCCCCGTACTGATTGTCCTTATCAAACAGAGTGTCTCTCCACCATGGTCATATAAACTTGACATACCAAAATTTGACCCCAAACATTGGTTTTCTCCCACGTTCTCTGGTACTCATCATCCGGGAGCAGACCCAACTCTTTCGAGAGCAGATCGGGTGAGTTTGTTCCAGTTCTATCTACACAATGCCAGGCCAGCGTCACCAACAAATTTTACGGTGTCAACTAATCCTAGCTCGAGGACACACGTTTTGATGCTTTTGCTACTTGCAAACGGCGTGAATCTAAATCCCGGGCATTGTTTAAATTCATTGAATCGTTTGATTGATAGTGATACACCTGAGCAAGACATTGTTACCTTTGACGTTCCATATCATTGCTTGTATTGTAACAAAGAAACCAAATAGGAAGATGGTGCCCTGCAGGGTGAAGAGCGCTTTCAACAGGTGCACAAGAACTACATGGGTATGAGCAACAAAGTGTACAAATGCCATGTAGATCACCCATCATGCACTTGGATTTGTTGTAAATGCGGTGTGCCAAACATTTCCAGCGCATTTTTTTTTTCAATTTCTGACTTGGAGACTATAAATCCCTTCGAAGTCTTGGTCGATACTGAAGATAGTATGCGTAGCGATGATATTCACCAACCTTCGCCTCTTGAGACGTCTAGCCCAATTAGACCCAACCCAGCGATAACATACATAGCAGGTACTAAAAGGAAATAAAACTGTGCAGGTTCAATAAAGCCATGAAACAAGTTTTTAAATGTGAATTGTCAGAGTGTGAGGTTAAAACTTCCAAAATTTCTGTCATCGTTAGATTCGGACAATTGAACCATATATTGCCACAGTGACTGAATCGTGGTTGAACGAAAACATCGCTGATGGAGAAATTTTCCCAGCTTGTTATCAGGTCTTTCGTAAAGATCGTAGTTCTGATTCACATGGGGTGTCTTCATTGCAGTTAGAAATGCCTTGATCGCCTCAGAAAGATCAGATCTCTCTACGGACTTTTAAATCATGCGGGTTACCAATCAGCTCAAGGTTTTGAAGCAACTGCATGTTGGTGTCTTCTGTAGACCAACCGTCTACTGTTCATAAGTATATTCTGCAACTCCACAGTTCACTTAATAAAATACGTACCTATGCTTCTGTATGGCTTCTCGGTGATTTTAATTTACCTGACAATGATTGGCCAAAGAACACTTAATGAAAACCAACGAAGAGAGGGTGATCATACTGGATAGGCCGTCTTTGTTAATGTTAGAGGTAGGCATACCACCACGAGCAAACTACTTCTGGACATGAGGCAAGAGCATAATTTTCGACAAACTCTATCCGAGACTATACAGGAGAAAGAACATCCTGGATCTGGTATTGACTTCAAACAGCGTTGACGTTAAATAGGCATCGGTGACCACAGTGTCTTGATGGTCAATGCTAATCTCCATCTTGTGAACAAAATGAACTTGCAAAGAGGAAAGTTTATCTTTCCAAAAGCGTTGATATGAGTCAAATCTCTGAAGACTTGGTAGCACTTCGCAGCAGACTGAACACAGGACTTATCAAGAGTAGTACCACTGAAGAATCGTGAATCATGTTTAAGATGAAGCTGGCATAATCTATTAATAAAAACATCCCTTTAAAATGAAGTCTACCAGATTCTCACTTCCGTGGACTACCAATGTCCTCAACATGAAAATACGCAATAAACAGCAGAAGTACAACAAAGCTCAAAGTCAAGCAGCCCGCATGACTGGGAATCCTTCAGAAACTTTCAACGCAAAACATACAGGCCTGTTCGCAGAGAATATCGACGTTATGTCTCTGAAGTCATATATGGGGCCTTGAGTCTAGAAACACCAAACCTTTCTGGAGATTTGTGAAAAAATAGCATGTTTGGGGGATCCCTACGCTTAACTTAAAAGCTTTGTACCATTGCAAAGAGGACAATCTGCCCTTTCAAGAAATATATTTTGCTTTCCCATGTATAAACTAGTTTTGCTATTATAGTATTTTTTATCTCGGTATACTTTTTATGTGGGCACCTTGTAGTTTGTTGGTTGATAATTTGTTTGGGCGTACTGAAGGTGTGTTGTTGGCTTTCATTGTTAACCGTTAATAGAGACTGTTCCAGCAGCTTCATGCACCAAACGATTTGCTGTTGCACCCATCAGTGGGTGATTTCCTTTCGTTAAAAAGCCTTTAAAGTGCGCCAAATAATTAGCCCCGTGCCTCATAAAACCTTCAAGATTGTCCAACGAGTCACCTACAAAGTTCTTTAAGTCAGTGGCACCATTGTTGGGTATTACATACATAAAATATGCACGACTGAAATCACAATAAAATGTTATCAAAATTATTCAATTTCTTTTAAACAATAAATAATAGCAAACGTTTAAAGTTTAAAAACCCACATTAAGATGTTTCACTGCTGTCTATCTATAATATATATTGCTGCAGCCTTAAAATTCACAAGAAGATATCTTAATTGAGGCTGTGCTTTTTGTTCGCCCCCAACTGATGTGTATTTGCGTCTCATTATCTATTGCACGAGGCTGAAGAGTTCACTGTCTGTAGATCTCCTCAAGTGAACTCATTCTACTGGAAGCGGTAGTATCTACACGAGCCAGTTTATTTTTCGTATCACCATACCTGGCGGTGATAAACAATGAAAGAACGCTTTCAATTACCGTACGATGAAACATAATGAGATTGTCTTTACTTCAGCCAATACAACTTAAATGGTACTTGGGGGAAAAAATCTAGAGCTGTATGTGGCCAAGACAAAGGAAATATTAATTGATTTCAGGTCTGGGAATCACAAAATCTTGCCTCTTTGGATCAGTGGGAAGGAGATGAAGAGGAATTCTGTAGTCAAACATTTGGTTGTTTTATTTCAAATTATCTGGAAAGGAATGAACGCGTCAACTTTGGTGTCAGGAAGGCTCAGCAGGGTTGTACTTTCTTCGCCGCTTAACCAGGGTGTCAACTGGCTCACGGTAATGACCGTCATAACCATGCACACTTAGTCCAGCAACTGTTGTTTCATTGGCAAATTTAGTAACCATGCAATCATTAAAAAAGGAAATACAATCATGCGTAAACAACGCGTAAAGTTGTTGTAAGAGAACACACTCCCTACGTTGCTCAAGCATTGAGAAACAATGGTTTTAAACATTTCTTACCAATACAGACAACTTATAATCGATTAAAAACTAAAAAACCCACTTAAAAACATCACAATCTACCCCTATATTGACGGAAATGTATACAGACAATGCTCTTAATTTATTTTATTGCCGAGCTCTCGGTAACTGGGTATCTTCGTCAGGGCAAGCAGATTCAGTTCCGAATGAACGCAGAAAGTCCACGTTCATTCCACCCGGATGCGGCGTTCCAAGTTCGAAGATGACACGCTGCGTCATTTCCTTACGCTGTACATAATTATCGGATGACGCTTTGTGCCGGGTGCAGACGCTTAAGTCACCGAGAGTATGCGGTGGCGCGCAAAAGTGCTGCGCTACAGTGAGACGCTGTGTTTGATGGCACACACTGCGC